CCTCACTGTTGTGCTTTGTAGAGTGTGAGTTCCAACTCTGAACCCTTCCTGTGTGCTAGCAGGTCCTCTACAGTGGACATGCGGGACCATTGGTATCTTTCTAGAAAGGCTCAGTTCTGAATGGAACTAGAATAGCCTGAGCTAACCCCAGAGCTTTCTTCAGTAGCTCGGGGGATTGGTCTGAGTCAGGACCTTGAAATACCCATGGAGAGGCAGGAGCATTTAGAAGCAAAAGATCTGAGCTGTAGTAAGACCTCCTGTCTGTTCCCTTTACTGTAGGAGAGCCCAAGGTTTACAGATATGTCACACACATAGTTTGTAGCTATGTGACCATGTGAGTGCTGTGTGGTGCATGTAGAGGCCAGAGGTGAGCCTCAGGAGCTGTGTCCACTTTGTTCTTTGAGACAAGTAGGCTAGGCTGCCAGCCAAAGAGACCCAAGGATCCTCCATTTTCTCCCTCCCCAGTGCCAGGATTACAAGCACCCACCACCATGCCCAGCTTTCCTCACAGTGTCTGGGATTGAACCCAGGGCTCACGGTTGTACAGTGAGCACTTTCCCACCTGAGCTACCACCCCAGTCCTTCTACCTTGCAAACAAAAGGCCCTAGAGAGCCACCAGACAACTCTTGCCTGCTCACAGAGGAAAGCAATGTGCAGAGATGCCAAACAGCAAGAAAGACTAAGGGCTGTAAAGGACTCAGGTCAGGAACTAACTCAGGCCAGTTCAGGAAACTGGGTTTACTTGCTGTGTGTAGATGAGTCTAGGAAGGAGAAGACCTCTGATTCTAGCCTCAACAAATGCTCAAACTCCTCAGCAATGGGCCTTGTTACTGACCAGACTACCGTCTGCTCCAACAGAGAAGGGGCTCACTGGGGCCAGGCAGTGAGGTGGAAGCTCTTACCTTTGAGGGCTTCATTGATGTAGCTGCGGAGGTAGTAGATCCTGTCCGTGTCATTGAGTTCTAGGTCCCCTCGTTTAGTCACCCCATTCTCTGTGATATATATTGGAGGGTTGTTGTATTCTTCCTTCAGCCAGTTCAAGATCCTCCGGAAGCCAAAAGGGGTCATCTTCAGCCAGAAGGAGCCAGAGTCTGGCCAAGAGCTGTCTGCAGTAGTGGCCACGCCCCTGCAAGTTCACAAGGTAAAGAAGATGTCTTGTTTGTAAACCCAGAGGATGGCCTCGGTTGTGACATCTAACCTTTTGTCACATAGGGCACCTCACACTAACATGAACAGCTCCACATGTCTCCAGCTCCTGTCTCCTGCTGAAATGTACATGCTACCGTCAGAGAGTGGGTCTCCATGTAGTTGCTATGATCTGAAATCAGGACCTCTGGAAGAGCAGCCAGTGTTCTTAACCACTAAACCCTCTCCCCAGCTTCATGTAAGAATATCTTATTCTGGTATCTCAGAGTTTCCTCCATGTATTTATACTATTTATGTAGCACAGATATAATAGTTTGGCCTTTGTGTTGAAGAAGAAGCCAAGGACACGTGTTAGGGAAAGCAGCTGGGAGATGCAATGGCA